TCTATATTTAAAAGATGGAGTTGCCATGACGACGCGCAGCAGCTCTCACCAGCCCTCGGTGCCACAGGGAGGGTGCAGAAAGCGTTGGGGACCCCACAGTCCCCCCCACCCCAAGCTTGGCTTCCATTTGGAGGGGTTAAATTCAATATAAACCCCCCCAAAAAATTGCCTGGGTGCTGGGTTTAACTCTTCCTCTCCCGTTTGCCAGAGCTGGGTCCGGGTGAGACACAGGCGCCGTCACACCGCAGAAAACACACACTGACTTTATTATGGCCGCTGCGGAGGAGGCACGAGAGCGGGTTCATGTTTGGGGGTCGGGGAGGGGGTCCCCAGAGTGCAAACCCACCCCCTCAGGGGTCTTCCTTGGAAATAAAGCCGCCGTCCTGTCCAGATTTGTCCCCGAGGAGGGTCTGACTTCAGCTTGTGGGGCAAGGAGAGCACCTCGTCCCCGAAACGGGGTGACCAGCCACCACTGCTCAGCACATGGGGGGCCGGGGGCCACGCAGGCTGCACCCCCGCATCTCCCTGGCCAGCCCCAGCATGGTGGGAGCATCATCCCCGCAGGGTGCTGCGGTGCTGAAGGCCTCTTCCTCCTCCTCCTCCAGGATGGAGCTGAGGCGGGGGGCACAGCGGGCCCTCTCGGCAGGTGGGCGGTAGGGACACTTGGCGTTGAGCAGCCTACGAAGTGGCACCAAGGGGACGATGGCTTCACCCCGGAGTTGCTGTTGGACGTGGCGGAAATCGTTCTGCCTCTTGAGACGTTTGAACTCGTTGAAGGCGGAGGAGGAGGTCTGGTAGAGCAGCAAGGCCATGGCACGTGCCTTGTCAGCTTTGGAGACCAGGACGGCGTGACAGCGCAGCACCACCGCCTTGTTCTTCACTTGGTGACGATAAACCCAAGCGAAGACCTTGGGGTGCCGACGATCTGCGGCGCAGTAGGTGATGCGGTGCAGGAGGTACGCGTGGCCCGGCCGGCGGGTTCCCTTCTCGCAGGGGGTCATACGGATACCTTGAGGTCCTAACGTCAGCTTCATCTTGACCCCACTGGCTCCAGCATCGCTTTTAGCCCAGATTTTACCCACAGCTTCCTCGGTGCAACCCTCGCCCTTGGCGTGCAGGGTGACGGCGTTCCCCAGGTACCGCACCGTGTACGTCGGGTCCTCCTTGTTCAG